CCCCCCCGCCGTTCCCATCTGCCGCTCGCTCTATTTCGCCCCATTCGTAGTCTATCTGCGCCCTGCCCCGCCCTGCTCGCTGGGAGCGTGCTAGAAGTACGTACATATTCTTGACTCGACGACGCTGCGCTGGCTGGCTGCTCGGCCAGGGCTCCCCGCGGCCAGGCAGGCAGGCAGGCAGCCCGACCGCCAACGCCGCCCGCCTTACAGTGTATTTACCGAGGAAGGCAGGGCGAGGCGGCATTGCGCTGCACTCGACAAACAGTCGCTCTGTCTCTCTCGCACCCCCGCGGGACGCGCCGGCGCGCCGTGAGTGCGACAGAGACAGGGCCACGAAATAACGGCTCTTCGGAATCAGCGGGCTGCGAAGCCGCAGATTGGATTTCCGAGGGTTCGGCGCCGATAGCCGGTCGCGATTGAGATTGACAACCGAAAAATAAACAAATTTCATATTTGTTTAAACGCCGCCGATTGCTCCGAAACGAACTGCAGTGTCGTGTGTGTGGGTGGGGTTTCCTCCGGGATCTCCCCCCAGGGACTTGGCCGGGGTATTAGCGGCTTTTTTTCGCAGGAGGCGCGGCAGTTCCAGCTCCACGCCCCCGGCACCCCTGCACGGTCCAGAGCCTGCCACGGGCCCCCCCGGGCCCCACCCTAGAAACGGTCAAAATTTTACAAATTTTTTGAGAGTTGGCCCAAGGGCCCCCACCAGGCCCCAGGGGCCGGAGAGGGGAAGGGCCCCCAGCCCCTTTTTTCTTAGCTCTCGCCGGTTTTAATTAGTGCGTGTGTGTGCGCCCCCGCCCGCCCACGCTCGTGTTTGTGTGTGTGTGTGCGTGTGTGTGCGCGCCAGGAGGGGCACTTTTATTCAGCGACCCTCGTCGGGGCCCTTCATATACGCGCCGTCGTCCCAGGACGCTGTTTGACCCCTGCACTCGGTGCTGTGGGCCAGGGGCGGCCGGGGGGCGGTTCGGGTGGGCTCGGCTCGGCTCGGCTCGGCTCGGCTCGGCTCGGCTTGTCCGGAGCCAATCTCGCCGTCACATGTCGGGCCGGCCTTGCCACCACACTGCAGGTCCCCACGGCCCTCCCCCCACCCCGGGAAGGTGTCCCCCCGGGAGCCCCCACCCCCACCCCCACCCCTTCCAGCCCCGATAAATAACCCGCCTCTTTCACACCTCCGGCAGCCTAGCCGGGCTGGCCGGGCTGGCCGAGCTGGCAGCCCCTGGTGGATACAGATTTGCCGCGGCGATCGGGCCAAATCCCTTAAAAACTCGATCACCGCGATAAGCGAGGCTAAGCGACGCTAAGCGGCCGGGCTTGGAACAGCCAGCAATCTGTCTGGCCGGGCACGCTCGGGCTGGGCTGGCGCTGGGTCAAGGGGTGGGGGGAGCACGGGTACCTTGTAAGCTGCGGTCCGCCGGCCTGGCCCAGGGCAAGTTCAATTTTCGCCCTCTTTTTCGGGGCTGGAGCGAGTACACGCCAAGCGCCCTGGGGCTGGGGAAGGTCGGCCTGCGACTTAGTAAAATGGACCTTGCCTCCCGACGCCCTTGCACGTCTCTCTCTCTCTCTCTCTCTCTCTCTCTCTCTCTCTCTCTCTCTCTCTCTCTCTCTCTCTCTCTCTCTCTCTCTCTCCTCCCTCCCCTCCCCCTCCCAGGAGGTTTAGGGAAATGGGTCCGCGGTGTGTCAGACAAGGGCGCCAAGGCGGGCTGAGTGAAAGGCCCCGGCAAACGAGCAGGCGGCACGGCGGCACGGCGAGGCTCATTGGCAGCCAGCAGCCTTCCGTCAATCTTGGAAATGGAAACGCCACGCGGCGCCTCATCCCCCCCCAAAAAAAACTTATTTTATTTGAAAAAAAAATCCTCAATGCGTCCAGGAAATAAAGTGTTGTCCTGCTGATTACAAAAAAAATGACACGTGCCTATCACCACGTGTATAAATTGACGAGTTTTTTTTTTCTTGAATGGATTCCCGGTTCAGCTGATTGCTGTTTATAGCCCGAGGGCGATGACAGTGGAGCCGGCGGATCACCTAGCGAGAGAGCGAGCCGGCGAGAACGACGTGCGAACGGGAGGCAGATGTGCCGGGCGTTAGAGCGATGGCCCGGCAGATCCGGGGGCGGGGCGGGGCGGCAGTGGGGCTCCCAAGGGTCCGCCCCTGCCCCGAGGCCCTGGGGGCCCCGCCAGCCCCGCCAGCCTCTGCAGCAGGGGTGCGACAGGCGGCCCTGGCCCCGCCCCGCCCTCCCCGACGTGGATTCCGGCGACCCTCATCCAGACCCTTTTGCATTTCGTGTTCCCGGCCGAAATTGGCCTTTTCGCTCATTTCGAATATAGTGTCGCCGTGTAGAGATTAATTGAATGGCCGATCCGAGACTCGGTGCCCGGGGCCACTAAATGCTGGCTGTGGAATCGTGGAACCCCTGCCAGGCAGCTAGCCTCGCAGCAAGCGCCCCGTTCTGATGTGGGTCGGGTCTGCCGGCCCCGAGCCCTCTGCTGTGGCTACCTTTGTCAGCACACGCTAGAGCACACAGTGTACCTGCAAGCCCGGTGCGGCGGTGCGCACACTTTGATAGGCGGCGTCCTTCCTGAGCGCCCCGCCGCAGGTTTAGTCATAACACAACTACACTGTGTGCGCAAAGCGCTTCCGGTCCGTTTTTCTCCGGCAGTGTAGGCCCCGGTCTCGGTAATCCGGCCGTCAATTAAGTTTTTCGGCGCGCCTTGTCGCCGAGTTGCCCTCAAAGTGTGAAGGATTTCCTCAAGTTTGGCGGTTCGGTTTCCTTTCAAAGCACGCGGCTTCGCGCGCCACGCGGCCCCGTCGTAATCCGTGAGGCCGCGCCGAGCCGAGCCGAGCCTGCCGGGGGCACTGGCGCGACCAAAGCCCGGAGTTTGGTTCGGAAAACAGACCGGAAATGGGGTACAGTTTCGACGAAAAATCCGAGTTTTGAACGCCTCTGCTTTTGTAAAAACCAGCCTAAAAATCTCAAATGCTTTTTTTTTTTTTTGGTCCGTTGTAAGCCGACTCTCTTCGTCTGCGGAGCGAGATTGTAATCGTGTTTTTCTGTGGCGCGCAATGCAGCGCGAACTTTGACTGTGTGTGTGTGTGTGTGACTGTGTGTGTGTGACAGTGTGTGACCGTTGGCCCGTCTGCCCGCAGCGCCGCCCGCCGGCATCGAGATCATCAACCGGGACGGCAGCAGCGTCAACAAGGTGGAGATCGCCGAGAGGAAGGAGGTGGAGCTGGAGTGCCGCGTCAAGGAGAGCAAGCCTGCCGCCACCATCGTCTGGTTCCGCGACAACGTGGAGCTCAAGCTGAGTGAGTACCAACTCCTTGTTCACCGAATTGGGGGGAAAAACACAAACTTTCCGGGCTTCTTCTTCAAATTGGGGTGAAAAAAAAAGAGAGAAAGGTTTGGTGGGTGGATCTCCTCTTTAGTACAGACGCCAGCTTAAATCGACTATCAGGTTTTTTTGCCAGTAGTTCCGAAATCAGGGATTAAACCACTGAAAATTTCGCGGGTGGTTGCCTGGCTGTTTTTTCCAGTGCGCCCCCGCAGGCAGTGCCAGCACCGCGGCCCAAAGTGGTTCTTCCGCGCCGCCGCTGCAGCAGGCTGTCTCACTCGCACTCACGCGGCCTTGGGCGCGCTGCGCGGCGCTGCGCGTGGGTGCGAGAGAGACAGCGCGCGGTCGCGGTTCATGAACTCTCGGGGCGTGATTGTGGAACCCCGACGGGGCATAGCGTGGACTTCAATAGGCGCTATAACTCATCCCCTTTTCGCTCGGCTGCTGATTTAGTGGCGCTCCCTGTCCTACCCCAGCCAGCGCCGTCGCAGTCGTTCTCGTCGCTCCGTCTCTCTCGCACGCACGCGGCGTCCCGTGAAGGTGCGAGAGAGACGGAGCGACCCTCAGTCTGCAGTGGCGTCGCGGCGCTGCCGGAGAAGGACTGCTCTCACACAAACCAAGTCCGGGGTGTCATCCCTCCCACACGCCACTTCTTTTTCACTCGCACTCTCGGCGCTGCTGGCCTTTCTACCAGTGTGCTTTCTTCATCCCTGGATGATTTTTCCACCCCCTCGGGCAGACACAGAGGACCGGGTCGCAACACACTGGCCCTCCAAGTGACGGTGCGTCGCTCAGTCCGCGGATCTGCTTCACAAAAAGTGACTTGGTTCAAACATCCCAATTTTTTGTGTATGTGTGTGTTTTTTCTTGTTTTTCGTTGAAACGGGGATAGCCCCGTGTCGCACTCCAGGTGGATGAATTGCGCCGGGCTGGAGCCTGGGCTGGAGCCTGGGCTGGAGCCTGGGCTGGCTGGAGTGGGGCCGTCCCTTGTGCCACTGTATCCATCCGGGCTGCTGGTAATCCTCTTTGGAACACCCCGCCAAGCCGCGCCCCGCCCCGCCCCGCCCCGCCCCGCCACGGCGCCGTGTTGATCTGACGAATGCTCTGAATTGATAATGGGCGAGGTGCAAACGCCAGGCAAGCGTCTGCCTGATTATAAGAGCGGCCTGGCCTGCCAGCACCAGCCAGCGCAAAGGCGGCAAGGCAGCGGACTCATTCCGAGAGTCCTTCTCGTCGCTCTGTCTCTCTCGCACTCGCGGGGCGCCCCTCGTAGGAGCGAGAGAGACAGAGCGACGAAAGCGACTGGCGGTCTGGCGGCTTACTCCCTCGCCGATAAGACTCTGCGGCACGGTGCGGCACACTGCGGTGTCGCTAAGTGCCGCCCGGCTGATGGAATAGGCCGCGGGCCAGGCCAGGGCCGGGCCAGGCGTCCCGCCTTCCATCTTCGCGATTGGCTTAGTATTTCCTGGATCGGGATTAATATTAGGATTCTTGGCACCGCCGCTTCGCGAGGCTTCGCGAGGCTAGCGAGGCTTCGCGCGCTGCGACGTCGTCGTGGTGGTTCGGCGAGGAGAGCACCGTCGGAACCGGCGGTGCACTGCAAAGCAACGACTGTGACGTCGGCGTGCCATTCGAACGAACGTCCCAAGAAGGGCGCAAACGTGTCGTGTGTGTGTGTGTGTGTGTGTGTGTGTGTGTGTGTGTGTGTGTGTGTGTGTCCTTGCCTGTGGTGCAGCCAGCCGCGCCGAGTATTCAGCCATTGCCGGTGCTTCTCCTCGCCTAGCTTCGCCTCGCCCGGCGCGTCTTGGGACCCACTCAAAGGGGTTAGCATTCGGAAGGGGCATGGCGGTGTGCAAGGTTTCTTGCTCCAACTTGTACCTCGCAGGACCCTGTAGGACTCTCTGTAGGACCCTCCCGGGAGGCGGGAAGGGGTTATGAATAGCCCCACGCCCCGCGCACACCAGCGGCCGCGTCTCTCTGTCTCTCTCGCACTCGCGGGGCGCTCGGCGGTGGGTGCGAGAGAGAGAGAGAGAGAGAGAGAGAGAGAGAGAGAGAGAGAGAGAGAGAGAGAGAGAGACGGCGTGCAGGGCGTGCAGCGAGAGGCGCGCAGTCCGAGTGCCGCTCGGCGTGTGTGTCTGCTAATGGCGATGAGCATCCCGTTTGGAGAGCCAGGCCGTCACTCTGTCTCTCTCGCACCCGCTGCCGCGCAGCGCTCCGCGAGCGCGAGGGAGTGAGATAGAGACAGAGCGACGAAACGCTATGTGCGAAATCAGTTCGCACAGCGCGCGTCTCGGTTCTAAAGAAAACCGGTTTTGTTGCTGTTTTTAGCGTGTACCGCGCGCGCTGGCGCGGAGTGACGAGGCTGTCCGATTACCGGTACCGCGGTGGGGCGGGGCGGGGCGGGGCGCAGTCCAGGCCGGGCAGGGCAGGGGGATAGGCGGGCGGACTTTACGGGTCATGAAAAGAGCTATAACCCAGTTCTGCAGCTCGCGGGGGCCTCGCGGGGCTTCGCGGGGCACTCGCGGGGTGCTGGTGGCCAAAGCGGCGTGGCGCGGCGTGGCGTGGCGTGGCGTGGCGTGGCGTGGCACGCCTTGTCGGACAGCCATGCCCAGCGAGTGCAACGACGCTGATACCCTGTAGCAGGAAAACGCGCCACCCTAAAAAAAACCCCATCCCCCGCCCCCAAAAGAAAAAAAAACGCAAAAAAAAAATTCAGACTTGGCAGAAAAGTGGAAACAGTTTCTGCTGGTGCCGCCTGGTTGTGTTTCTAGTGCAAGTTCTGCAGACCTAACCTTCCAGACTGGCGCAGATCTCTCTCGGCAGCACTAACCAAGTTTTTAGCGGCGGTAAAAATGAGTTAACGCGGATCTGGGAATTGTTGTTTTGCGAGCACCTCCGCGTCGTCGGGCAGCACTGGCGCTGTCCTGCCTCCCCTCCCGGTCCAGCGGCTGCGAGAGAGAGAGAGAGAGAGAGAGAGAGAGAGAGAGAGAGAGAGAGAGAGAGAGAGAGAGAGAGAGAGAGAGAGAGAGAGAGAGAGAGAGAGAGAGACGAGGGCGCTGTTGGGGTTCGAGCTGCAGCAGGCAGTCAGTCGGCTGTTTCTTGCGCTAGGCAGAAGTGTGGTCGGGGTCGCGGCGCTGAAGAAGCCGCGCCTAACTCGCGGCTGACCGCGCCACGCCCCGCCGCGCTCCCCCACCCTTATAAAGTGGCCGCGCCGCCCTGCCGGTGGCACGGGGTGCAGACAGCGGGTTGCATCCCAACAGCGCTTCCGTCGCTCTGTCTCACTCGCACTCCTGGGGCGCCCCGTAGGAGAGCGAGAGAGGCAGAGCGACGTTCGGCGTCACCCTTACACGGAGCCTTACCAGCTACACGGAGTGCGCGTCCGAATACAAAACAACGGCCGCGCCGCTTGACTGCGTGCGCGACAAGGACGGGAGACACTACCGCCCTTCCTCTCTCTCTCTCTCTCTCTCTCTCTCTCTCTCTCTCTCTCTCTCTCTCTCTCTCTCTCTCTCTCTCTCTCTCTCTCTGCACGCGTCTCTGCTAATTACATATTCCGCCCCCTTTGTGCGACCGTACCGCTGCTCTGCCTGCGCGCCCTGCGCAGTGGGGTGGAGGATCCTGCACTGCAGGGCGCTGGGCCGCGTGGCCGCGTGCGAGGCGAGCACGCACCTGTCGCTCGCGAAGGCAGCCGCCCTCGGCCCTGCTCATCCCCCTCTGTCTGTCTCTCTCGCACCCCCACGGGGCCCACGGGGCGGGCCGCGAGTGCGAGAGAGACAGAGCACCCGCGCGTTATTCGGAACGCGCCCGCAGGAAGGGAGTGCCGCGCCGCCGCGGCGCGTACAATTGAAGTGGAAAGTTTTTCTTTCCCCTCCCCCATCGCCCCCTCCCCTTTTTTTCGGGTACCGTTCCCCGGGAAAGAATAGCAAAGCCTTGGACACGTTCCGGCAGGGAAAGCTTTCGCGCGGATTTGCACGTGTGCGGGGAGGGGGGGGGGGCTGTACGTACTCAACTACAAATCAGGGCGTTGTCAATATAGGGCGAGCGGACCCTTCCGCTTCAACCTGAACCCGTATCTCAGCCCCCTGGCCCCCTGGCCCCTCTCCCCTGGGACTTTGCAAAAGGGAAAGGGAGGGGACAGATAGGCCCCTGGAGGAGGGGGAGAGGGAGAGAGAGAGGCCGTCCATACATTGGCCGATGCACAAAGAGAGCGAGCCGGCTCGGAAGCCTCTCACCCACTTACACTATCACTCCGAGTTTGTAAGCCTTGTCTTCTTTTTTATCTCCCTCCCCGTTGTTTCCCTCTCTCTTTCTCTCCCGCCCTTACGACTCCCCCGCTCCCCCCGTTCGGACGCTAGCGCGCCATTTCCTACACTTGTCCCCCGGCCCCCTCTCCGCCTTCTCCGGTTATCCTGCGTCGAAATCCTCTCGAAACTACTTGCTCGTCCCTTTGCCGGCCCTTTTTGGCATTCCTCCTCCGGGTCTCGCCGTATCGCCGTCTCCCTCGCACTCCTCGGCCGGCCGGGCTCGCTGTCTCTCTCGCACTGCCCGGCCGATTCCGTGCCCAGCGGCCCAGCGGCCCAGCGCGGTGCCCAGTCTCCCCGACGTAATTGACCATCAGCAGGCCGATTCCGAACAGTGTGGCTGCGTGGCTGCGTCTCCCTCGCACCCCCGGGGCGTCCCGCAGCATGCCGCAGTGCGAGAGAGACAGCGACGGAGGCGGCGGTCGGCATCAGTCTGCTGCAAGGGCAAGGCGGCTGGAGATGCCTCGCCGCCACGCACGCCGCAGAATGATGCCGTCGCTCCGTCTCTGTCGCACTCGCGGGCCGAGGCGGAGCGACCAAACGACTCGCGGGAATCGCTTTGGCTGGCTGGCCTCTAACCGTCCTACAGTGTGGGAACTACAAAGCCCCAAAAACGAAGTTCGCCGCGGCTTTTCAAAAAAATACAGTGCACAGTTCGAGTGCAGGCTGGTTC